GTAAAATACAAGCCCACTGATCATGTGCTTGGATGTCGTGGCAATGCCAAATTACTATCAAAGCTTCTAAATTATAGTCTCAATTTCTCTATTTACCTCGTCATAGATCAGTAATGAACAGTTCCTGACCTGTACCAGTCTAGGAAAAGGAGTAACTCAAAGGCTCGAGAGAGCATGGTTCCCTCAGCCAAGTGGCAAGTAATTCAGGCCAACATTGGAATCATAATCCCACACCCTACACTGAGACTTCTCCCAGAGTGGCTCTGTAACATTTTGTTAAGAAATAAATGGCTTCTCTTTTTAAAACCATGGCCATAGGCAATGGAAGTCACTGAAGAGTTTTACATGATAGAGAATTATGCCCACATCTGCAGAGTCAAAGAATAATTCCAGTAGCAGCGTAAAAGCTGGATGGGGAGGGAAGGTGCCACGTGGACGTAGGTAGGGATATCAGTTAGTGGCCACTGCACAAGTCCAAGCAAAAGATCACGAGAGCTAATATAGGCAATGATCATGGGATGAGGGTGAGGAACAGAAAAACATCGAGGGGGTATGTAAGAGGCAGGTGTCACAGACACATCTCTTGCACAAGGGACTAGCTGGACAGTAATGACACTACCCAATAGAAGGAAAAAGGAGAAGATCTTATGTGTGAGAAAACAGCTTCGTTTCAACACTAGATAACCTCATGTTAGTCTAACTTGCCTGCAGCAAACTAGCACTTAGTGGCCACATATGATGAAATTGACCCATCCCAAACCGACATTTTTACTGGTCAAAAAATGGGTTGAATGTTGATAATTCTCATATGACACAACCTAATATCTTCTTAAGCTTGGGCTTTACAAAGGTAATCCCATTTAACTCAATAATCCATAATGTAGATATCGTTGCCCCTATTTTACAGATGAGTAAACAGAGGTGTGGAGAGGCCAAGGAACTTGCCCTGCAGTTAGTTGGAGGTAGAGCTAGGACTCAAAGCCTGCCCATGCTAGAGTCAAGGTCGCTACTATTTCTGCTTCTCTATGTGCCCCCTCACTGCCCTCCACCCCACTGCCAAGCCCCTGGCTCCGGCTGTTTGAGACGTTCCTGTATATATCAAGGATCTGCAAACTCTTTTGTAAACGGCCCGATAGTAAATATTTCAGGCTGTGCAGACCACACGGTTTCTGCCACAGTTACTCAGCTCTGCCATTGTACAGTAAAAGCAGACAAAGACAGCGCATGCACAAATGGCTGTGGCCGTGTTGCCGTAAAACTTTACTGCGGACCCTGAAATCTCAATTTAATATTCATGTATCATGAGATATTATTCTTCGTTTGATTCTTTTCCACCATTTAAAAATACATAACCATTCTTAGCTTGCAGACCACGCAGAAATAGACAGCAGGCCGTAGTTTGCTCATGTTTGCTGAATAGGATGGAAATCGTGGGATATTGGTTGGTAACGAGACTACGAGGAATGGAGGGACAAGGAGAGGGATTACGTGTTCCAGTACAGGCTACTCCAGTCTTTCAGTCTGGAAACATCAGTTGGGCCTGGATTGAATCATCTAGATCTTCAATTGACTATTTTATATATTTTGATTACAAGGCAGCTTCCCCCTGAAAGGTGACTGCCGACACATCCATGCTGAAGCAGTCTAGAATAAACTAATCGATGTGTGCCCTGTTGCTTGCTGAACAGTGAGTCACATGACCTATATAGGATCTCTCATTCTGATAACCGGCAGAACTTAAATTGTGTGCTAGAGATTCTTATAATGCCATTCTTTTCCCGTGCAGACAGAAAAAATAACGACCAATGCATTCGTCTCAGTCGTTGACGATGTGTCTAAGTATTACGTTCAAGTGAGAGCAGCAGTGAGCTCCACGTGCAGACCGTCGGGGCTCTGGAGCCAGTGGAGCCGCCCTCTTTACGTGGGTGAGTAGCCCGTGTTGAGTTCGCAGCCGTGGCCTTCCTCGTGGCCAAAGCAGGTCATCCCAGAAAGTGTCCGCTTGCACTCGTGGGTCTTGAAATGGTCGCACATCTCTGCCATGTCTCGTCTTCTGTTGGTTTCCTGCCTTTTCGCTCAGAGATGGATTTGCCAAGAAGCCGATGAAGTCGAAGTGCCCCAGCTTCTCATTAGCATGATTCTTTCTCAGCTTGGTACCTATTTTTTCCTCCCAAATCTTTTGTTTCCACTAGTACCCAAATTTTTAAATTAAACTCATTATTTTGAGATAATTGTAGAGTCATCCGCTATTGTAAGACATAATAAAGAGAGACACTGTGTCCATTTCGCCCAGTTTCCCCCAAGGGTAACATCTTGTAAAACGATAGTCCAATATTGCAACCAGAATGCTGGTATTGACAATCCACTGATCTTATTCAGATTTCATCAGCTTTGCATGCACTCATTTGTATGTGTGTGTTTATTTCTATGCAATTGTAGCACATGTTTAAGCTCACGTGCCCCTCACCAGTCAAGATCCATCACCACAAGGATGCTGGTGTTGCCCTTCCGTAAACACACTCACCTCTCTTTTCCTCTCTTCCCTCCCTGACCCCTGGCAACTACTAATCTGTTCTCCCTCGCTATGATTTTCCCATACCTCATTTTTAATGCATACTTGTTTCTTTTTTAAAAGAAGATTCCAAAATTGAAAAAATCGAATCATCTTCAGAGCCCACAAAATCTGGATCTGTCCCTGAATCGTCAGCCCAACAGACACAGAGGATCAAAAGGTTTGGCGTTGCCAGGCTTCTGTGTTGCTTCCGCAGCTGTTTTCCTTTATGATCAAACTGACCAGTTTGTTTGGAAGTAAGATGAGCATCTTATTTGCTAGTGGGTTCCATGAAAGGTAATGAGGGGCACATTCCTAGTCTCACCCTGCGTCAGGTGGCAATCCCATTCCAAGGAGATGTGATCTTGCTCCTTGAAGGCAGAAAATGTACGCTCTGTGTTTGCTGTTACTTGGGTTTCTTGGACAAGCAAACACAGACATTTAATGAGAGAAAGAGATTTTTAAAAGACAGCTAGTGTGTCTCATGCATATGCCACAACTGTGCAGCCTGGGGGTGCAGGCACAGATGGTTAAGTGTTGCATGAGGTCTACAAGAGCATGAGATGGTGGGAAGAACATTGGAGTCTTTCATAGAAAGCCCAGGTTTAATGCCCAGCCTTGGTAGGTATTAACTATGTATCCTCAGACAAATCATCTATCTCTTTTCCTTGGGTTCTCAGGATAAAGGAGATAACACTCACCTTGCCTGCCCCACGACTATCGTTACATAAAAACAAGAAAAATAGCAGGTCACAGATACTGGTGCATTTTTGCCAAGCACCATACTGAATGCTTCCCGTGCATTATCTTAGTTGATCTTGTCAACAAACCTATTTTGCACATGAAGAAATAGGTTTGGAAAGTTTAGATTTTTTGCTTAACTCTGCATGACCAGCAAGTGTCAGAGACAGGACTCAAACCCAGGTTGATCGACTCCAGCACCCAATCTCTTGGCACTTGGGCACCGTGTGACAGGATTCTGCAAGCTGTGAAGTGTTGTATAAATTAAAGACTTATTTAAGAGATCCTGGTGGCCAACTTTATAATTATGGCTGGCCAAGCATGTGAACATCATTTCTCACGAATCCTATAAGGGATCGATGACCTTTTTAAGAGTATACATAAGGAGCGATTTCTCTCGGGCACATACTAAGATGCTCTGCTATTTAATTCATTCACTTAGGCTATGGGGTGGGTCTTCAGAACATTCTTGGGCAGTGATGCGTTAGCCCACATGGATGTGAGTCAGATCAGACACACAGCAGGTAGATGTCCATGGAAGACTGGGAAAGATCAGGAAAAGGCCTGAGAAATGGATGACGGTTCCGAGTCTGCCAGGGGCCGGGTCATGCTAAGTTGCAGAGCTCCCAAAGGAGAATGGCGCCCCTAGAGTTGTGCAGCACACAAGTAGCACAGCCTTATTGGGTGACCCTGGAGTCCCTCAGAGGGACGCAGAGAGCAGCAGGAGGCTTCCTGGGGAGAAGGAACTGAAAGGAGGGTAAAAGGAACTGAGACACATTCACCTCCTCCACGATCTCATTGAGGCCAATCCTCCCTCCCTCCCTCCTCCCCAGGTTGGTGCCCCGACCTGACTAAATTGACCCAGCACCCACAGCACCCCCCCAACCTCGCTTCATTTGCACAAAGAGAATTCGCTCTGTCCCCCAAGAGAGAAATAAATAGGAGAAACATTAATCAGTCTCGGGGAATTTCTAACAAAGTTATTATTTTTATCAAATACCCATGGTGGAAGCTTAATTTTTGTTACTTGAATTTGGTGGATTTCTTTTTTAAAATGCTGTATGTTATTCTCCAAGGGCTCAAAACTCACCGGCCCCAAACTATTGATAGTTCTAAGTGTCTTCCCAACACTACTGCATATTCAATTTTAGAGATTTCTTTTTTTTTTTTTTAGTGCTGTCCAAGGGACCTCAAACCAACATGGTGGGGACCAAGGTCAGAATCCCGAGTAAGAAGCCAGTAATGCCTTCTGGATCTTTGGGTTTTCAAGTTATAATGTTGACTGTCAAGAGTTTAGAACTTGTAGTGGGAGAAAGGAGCATTAGCTAAATTAGGAGATCTAGGTTTTAGCCACGGCTCTGTCAGTCTCTAGCTCTCTGACCTAAGTTAGAGATGGCAAAAGATAATATTTTGTGAGCCAAGGAGTCAGTGTTAAGAAGCTCAATTTAAGTTGTCAGAAGGAGCAGTGATCTCTTGCCACCACTGCAGGGGACAGAGTGAAGACCAGCGGGCCTGGGTTTTGCCACCCTGACCTAGTCACACTAACCTCTCTGGGCCTCAGTTTCCTCACCTGGGAAGTGTGAGTGCTTTGCCACTCATGCCCTCCCACACCGCACCAGCCCACCACAAAAGTGCCGAGAGTGAAATTGTGATCCGTAATCAGCACGCAGTTCGAGCTTGTTTTTAACTTATTATTCACTCTCCACTTTAGAGCTCTCGTTCCATTATTATTTCCTAAATAACAGCTTCCTAGTTTGGATCTGGGCTTATTATAGTTTTCCCCCAGGTGCACCTCGCTGCCATTATCTGTGGCAAATCCCATTTCATTCACTGCCACCCTTTCATGCAGATGAGCTGATTAATATCACTCCTCACCTTGTAAATCCATCCTTTCTGGAATTTACTCCCCTGCTCAGTTTAGGATCATTAGTGAATTTAATCAATGCAGACTTTCCATTTTCATCAAGATGATTAATAAACATAATAGGAAGTCCAAGCCCCTCTGGGACATTTTGCATGGCTCTTCTCTACCCCTCAAGGATGCAGCCATAATTATGCTCTGCTAGGAGTCTATCAGGCGACTTTGCCGCCATGCTCACTTCCTTTCCATACCCTTCCTCCTCTCCTGCCTTGTCTTACAAATGTCACACTGCAGCTCTGCTCCCCTGTTTTTCTCCAACGTCCAACTCAGCTATCGCCCCTTGCTTAGATAGTAAGTCTATTCTCTTTATTTTAAGGTAAGGAATGGAGGCCCAGAGATATTAAGTGACACAGTTGTCAAACAGCCAAGAAGTGGCTGTTACTGTATAATTTTCTCAAATAAGTGACATATGAGCCAATTAGTGAATTAGCATAGATTCAATTACTAATTAACCCATTATAGCCCAAGGTTATAGCATAAAGAATGAGACACAGGGTAAGTTTGGAGTAATGAGATGAGGGGGTTGGGGAGGCAGGGGTGCTGTCCTGCTGTGGCGGGCAAGGTCCCTGGCCAACTGGGAGGCACAGGGGATGGTGGGTGGAGGTCTGAGAGCAAGTGCTCTTTGCCTGCCCTAACCTGTGCCAGAGACCAGCCCCTGTCCTGTCCCAGGATTTCCAGAGCATGGAATTTTTTTTTCTTTCTTAAGAGATAGGGTCTTGCTATGATGTCCAGGCTGGATTTAAACTCCTGGTCTCAAGCGATCCTCCCTTCTCAGTCTCCCAACGAGCTGGGGCTGCAGGCGGACCTCCTGTGCCTGGCTGGAGTTTTTTAGTGGCAGCAGCAGTTGCATTTATCAGTACTCGTTATCAACTGCCCTTAAGCAGCTAGCTTCTCTGTCTTATCTTAACAGCTAACTTCCCAATTTTCACAATTCTCCTTTTTAAACTTTCTTAACTTCCGGATTCTTCTGTGCCAGTGTTATCTTTGCTATCTCCTGTTTACTGAAACCTTTTGTTCCCCGCCCCTGGTCTCAATGAAGTTTGCTTTCTGAAGTCCTTCATCTCCTCTTCCCTCGGCTTCAGGAAGCTCACGTGCCAAACGTGAAACAAACAATTATGAAAACCAATTTTCCCACCGTTATGTCACGTGGTTCCCCCTGGAAACAGCAGGCCAAGCGGGTCTGCCCGGTGCTGCTCCCCGGCTGTGTCTGGCCAGCCTCAGTGGTTCTGAGACTCGCCTCTCGGTGATGGGGCTTATCCATAGTCACAGTTGTCACCCCTCAAACAAACAATGGGGTCTTGCCCATCGAAGGCCAGGATCTGGGTGACGATGCTCTTGGGTACCATTTAAAATGTGTTTTTTTCAAAAAGGTTTCCTCGGGCTTGAGGTGTGTGGCACGTGCCCCCAGGGGCATCGAACAAGATTTAGGCCGGTTTTGAGACGGCTCAGTCGCGGGGGGCTCGGCGGACAGGGGCGCTGCTGCCTCCCCGGCCTCTCCGTCAGCAGCCGGACGTGCTGCTCATAGGAAGTCCCGGTTGTCTTTCCTGTCACAGTTTGAGCTGGGGGCAGGCTGGGCGGTTAGAGTTGCGTGGCACATCCTAGAGTCTGTTGGGACGTCGTGAGGCAGCTGTGTTACAGGAGTCTGGGCTGGGGTGGAGGCAAGGCCACCACGGGACACCTCCTGTGCCCTTTTCCTCCGACTTCGCATTCGTGGGCTGACGTG